CTTGGATAGCTCCCGCTCACCAATCAGGTACGTGGATCAATAGGATCTTCCTATTGCGCAACGAATTTGATTGGTTGAACCTCGAGTCTCAAAGCATCAACATGGCTTCCACGGAGCGCTCTTCTCAAAGTCTTCTCCTCCTGCTTTTTTCCCTACACATTGACTTTCCCCCTGCCTTCTCTCCCCCTTGCCCCCCTTCTCACCACTATAAATTTTGCAAACGCGCATGCAAATCTCTCTTACGTTCTCGACTCTCAAGCCAGCTTCCGGGAAGCAATGGCTAGGCAGAGTGTTTGGTGCGAGTCGGAAAGTCCTGTCGGGCTGACGATAGGCTGGCCGGTTGCGCGCTTGATCGCCACGACGGACTGTGGGATCGGGGCGAACCGCGCAGAGTTTACGTCAACGGGGTGACGATCGCAGTGGTGGGAGTTAGCACGCGACGACTGAGATCGTCGGTGCGGGTATGAGGATCGATGATTGGAGTTGAGTGAGTGATTGTCCTGGGGCCATATTGGAATCCACGGCGAATGCGCCTTTGTTGTTGCGGATTTCTATCTCTGGCGTGAGTGTGCGGCGGCAACGCCGAACTTCCTCTTCTCAAAATTTGTCCTCCTCTATCTCGACACTCCTCCCTCCTCTCTCCCTCTCTCTCTCTCTTTTATCTTTGAATGACGTCGAGTCTCGATCTCTTTCTCTCTCTCCAATGGGGATGAGTCTGCATGCTATTCCTGTGTGAAAGAACTTCTTCCGGAACTATTCCATTAGTTTCCTGGGTAGTCCCCCTATGCAAGAGCCCCGTCTTCGTGTCTTGTGAACGGTGGATGCGTGTGTATTGTTTCGCGATCCATCCTTTTGTCCCTGCGCATATCTCATTTTCGCACCTTCCACAGTGAATGAATGTATGGAGATCAGCGGTTCTTTGCGTTGATTAGATGATTGTTGTCGAGATTTTGTTCGAGAATGCAAGAGTGTTTAGATCTGTAGCTCTGAATGTACTGCACATGCCATCTGCCTTATGCTGCACGACCTCAGCACCCGAGCCACAGGGCGGCCTCGAGAAACAAGGCGCCTCGGATCAACGTCGCGTTGGCTCACCAAACCCGAGTCGCGGGCCGGTCCGTTAGTTACATGCATGACCAAGCTGATGAGTGTTCTCTCTCTCTCTCTCTCTCTCTCTCTCTCTCTCTCTCTCTCTCTCTCTCTCTCTCTCTCTCTCTCTC